AAAAACAAACCAAAAAAAAAGTAATTATTATTTTTTTTAAAAAAAAAAAAAAAAAAAAAGCAATCCCACATCAACTCAGAATTGCTGCAGACAGAACAGCAGGTTTTTTTTCTTCTTTTACTGAAGGTTTACAGGTAAACCAAGGATGTCCGAGTAAGCTGGAATGCAAGAGGAGCATGGCTACCAACGCAAACAGGGTCTCACAGGGTCTACAGTCGGTCAACGGACACCTTCAGCTAACACTGTTAAGATGATCTGGCTTGTAAAGGCTTTTAAGTTTCTTGCTTATTTTTAAGAATGGAAAATATCAAGATTTTGCAATTTTTTCTGGAGAACTTCCAAAAAGAATAAGAAATTTGGGAGCTTGGGTATAAATTTAAACATCCTAAACAAAATAGCAACCTTTCTTCTTCCATTCTTAAAAAAAATTCTTTCCCCAAAAACGATTAAACCACAATATTTTGCATATGCTGAAAAATTATGTGAAATATCATGGTGAATTTTTATTTTTTGGTTTTTTTTTTTTTACTCTTATACCTAATCCTTGTGATACCACCATTTCAGAAACCTCTCCAAAAAAGCCTCTTTTCCCCAAGATTCTCCTTTCCATAAATCTTGTTCAAGTAACCTACCTGTGAGAATAACATTAACTACAGAAATCTTAATGCTTGTTACCTGTTTAACGTAACTCAAGGCAGCCAGTGCGAGAGCCTACACCAGAGCATGTGACAAGACTCCAGACTATTGAAAACAGTTATCTCACTTTTTACACCGTTGAAACAAGCAGCAGAAGCCCTAAATTGCCTCTTGAGCTAAACACACACACGCATGGTTTACAGACGGTCAACCCCAAGCTTCAATAACCTAAGCAGAAGGGTTTAAGCAACACGAAGTTTTCAACCAGCAATAAGAGGCAAGTTATCAGCGTAAGCTGGCACCCAACCGCCGCGTCTCTCCGTCTTGGTCCATCCCTGCCCCAGCCTCTGACGTGCTACAAGCAAAGTCATGACTCGACAGAAGCGCGTAACCATGACTCTCAAAACTCAGAGTAAGCAGAGACCATCTTGACAGAGCACGAGTAAGGTTTTTACTCTTAATACCAACTAATACAAAATAATTCACATGTTAATTTGTGGCAAAGCTGAGATTGTATTGCAAGGAAGTTAGTTAACTATGGGATTTGCAAGGACTGACTGAAGAGGAGATGAAGGAGACTTAGGAAAGAAGAAACATAGAATCATAGAATCGTTGAGGTTGGAAAAGACCTTTAAGATCAGCCAGTCCAACCATTCACCTACACTACCAAGTCTACTCTAAGCCAATCAAGGGTAGACTAGACTAAACCATGGCCCAAAGTGCCACATCTACCCGTTTTTTGAAACATCAAACTGATGATGATTTGACATCAAACTGAAGACAGATCCTTAGCCAAGACCAATACTGAAACTGGTATTTAGTATTTTCATTATTAATTCTGGTGTAATAAGTTGTCCTATCTGAAGTCTACTGCTCAAAACAGTGAAAGGCACTGTACAAAGGGCAATTAAAATAAGAAACTGATAGCCTTGTGAACAGAGTAAAAACAAGGGATGGGTGTCAGCAGTAGAAAATGCAACATTACCTAAAAATGTCTTCTGTGAACCAGCAGCTGTTTTCACATAACAAAGAAGAAAGACTGAAGGCTGAGAGATTACCATTTTACTTCCACAGAATAACTATAACCCAATGGAGAGACAACCCTGGAACAGGGAAATACAATCTTGCAAGCACCTGGTGAGAAATTTCCATCGGAGGCAGGGAAATAGGAACATCGTTGTGTAAGACCTTGGTGAAACCTGGTTTGTGCAATGCGTACAAACTAATCACTCCTGCCCAGAGGAGATGGGCTCAGACCAAAACGGATGCCACGCAACACAAGCCAGGATGAGGACCCCCCCCACCAGCTCCTCCATAGCAGAAGAGGCTTGAGGACCACGTCTTGTTTCAAGCTTCTCTTCCCAAAATTGCCTATAATTATGAGCACAGACTACATCCAGTGGAGCAGGAACACTACAAGCCATCTTCTCAAAATGCTCTGACACTAATTAGATGCCAGAGTTCTGACTTTCAATTCAAATCAGAGAAACACCGCTGATAATTTTTCATGCTTTCCAAAAATCTGTTTATATTTAGACTTTTTAAAAGGCAGCAGCTGCAATCACAAACTTCCCTCCTAAATCTACAAGGTCATTTTATACCAAGTAAGATTAAATAGAATTTATGAAACACGCTATTACGTAAGAAGTCTACATGGGAAGTCTGCTTTAAACTCCACCAAGTCCAGCTCCTTTTAGCTGTATATACTGCACGCATGACTTCGTTTTAACACTGAAATATTAAATTAGTAAAATCTTTTCACGTAAAAATCAGCATACCAGAGCCTCTCTGGGAAAGGCTACGCAGTTTTAGATGGCGGGGGAGGAGAATCCCCCTCCCCGCGGGCCTGTGTCGTGCGGGGGGAAGAACGGGGACGGCACTGGCTAGACGGACAGCTACCGCGTATGCGGCCAAAAAGGAAAAAATGGAGAATAACCCTTAAATGAATACCAAATGCAGCTCCTCACAGAGCCTCTTCCGCTTACCAAGTATTTCATAAACATGAACCAGAGTGTAAAGGGGCAAAATTCCCCATTTCTAAGGATTTAAAGCAGTACAGTGGCTAAAGGCCAAGGTAGTCCACTAATTCCAGGACGTCAGCTTGGGACCTTTGGACCTCAGTTTCAGTCAGTGCTCCATTTTTTTCCAGTTAGCCAAAGTGGTACTTCATCACTTGTGTTAAATTTATGAATCAATATAGCTAGTATCATATGTACGTGGTCTGAAAAATAAACCCGCTGAATGATTAATAGCCAACATACAAAATTGTCCCAAATACACCTAACTTCCTACATTTTATAGCATTTAACCAAGTTGTTTGCTGTGATATAGTGCTCCACAGCAACGCTATCAAACTAACACACAGAGCATTTACCAAAAGATCATAAATAAAAGTATTGTATACAGAGACATTTACTTTTAGGTTCTGCCCAGATAAAACAGGATGTTTGATAGCCACTTTTTATGCCTTAAGATAAAGTAAGCTATTAACCCAGCCAAGAAAATTAACTCTTCTCTGCACTGAGAGGGATTTAGCTAACTCTAGTATTTGGGGATAAAATACATCTCTAATCCCATGTTGTACTCAGCTTCCATTCCAATTACAATATAATACTAGTTCAGCCTTCATAACAGAAAGGTTGTTATAAATAGCAACGACTATTTGCCTCTAAATGCTTTCAAAGTACTTTTAACAGACTGGAAAAACTGGACTACTGCACCGCTGTAATGCCTGTTCAGTTCTAGGCCTTTCCAAAGGAGTCGCCAGTGACACTGTGCCAGCAGAAACACAAAGGCTTCAGAGAGAGGAGATTACAGGTACGGGGAGTTTCCAGTAACATTAAGCTCAGGAAAGAGTTTAAGAGGGTAACGGGCATAAAAATTGAATGGCATGCAGAACGGACATATAACTATCACTGGAGGATAATGACAGAACTAATGAATTAAAGATGAGCATGAAATTACTCCCTCATTAAGTGTCGATAAGATATTCATCAACTTCAACAGGGCAAACTGGAATTCGCAGAAGAACCTGGAAGTATACTGCCAGCCTATTAAACACGTAATATAACTCCATACTTTCAAATAAAAATTTGGAAACGCTTGTTATGCTTCAGTGCGACCCACACGGTTTAACAACGAATCATAGAATCATAGAATCGTTTAGGTTGGAAAAGACTTTTAAGATCATCCAGTCCAACCATTAACCTACACTACCGAGTCCACTCTAAGCCAATCAAGGGTAGACCAGACTGAACCATGTCCCCAAGTGCCACCTCTGCCCGTTTTTTGAACACTTCCAGGGATGGGGACTCCCCCACCTCTCTGGGCAGCCTGTTCCAATTCTTGACCACCCTTTCCGTAAAGAAATTTTTCCTAATTTCCAACCTAAACCTCCCCTGGCGCAGCTTAAGCCCATTTCCTCTCGTCCTATCGCTAACTACGTGGGAGAAGAGCCCAACACCCCCCTCCCTGCACCCTCCTTTCAGGTAGTTGCAGAGCGCGATCAGGTCTCCCCTCAGCCTCCTCTTCTCCAGGCTGAACACCCCCAGCTCCCTCAGCCGCTCCCCACCAGCCCTGTGCTCCAGACCCTTCCCCAGCCCTGTTACCCTTCTCCGAACACGCTCCAGCACCTCAATGTCTTTCTTGTATTGAGGGGCTTTCTTGTATTGAGGGGCAAAAGTTTCCTTACAGGTAGATCATCCCAGGTTTCTGGCTCACTTCTAAGTTTCCTTCCAATTTCAAGTCTTGTACCAGTTGCTTACAGCAACATATGGGCCCAGGTCTGACCAAACACTGAACTCACAGCTTTAAAAAAAACCAGACAGAAGCTATTTATGGATTCTTTAGGTTACTGGTCTTGGAGTATCAAGGCTAAGAAGTACCATTAGTTGATCTCATGGTATGTGCAAACAAGATCTGCCCTTACACAAATATTGAAAGTCATTTCTGCCTAGTCACTGTAAACACGCAGACCAAGAGGAGTTTCAGAAGCCGGAAGGTCAGACTTGTGCATCAGGCCACTGAAGTCGAGCTCTTCCACCCCTACATCAGCAGAGGTTATTGTCAATGACTCCTGACAAAGCATTCCAGTTTTATTTGTCTAAGTTTAAGTATCTGAATGTCTTGGTGAGCACAGAACTACTTGCTCAACGGTTTTGAGTTGCCATCACTCTCGGATGAAAGACATTAAGGAAGACCCAGGACTCGCGTCAGCGCAACAGTGTGTTCTAAATCCATAATCACTGCATCCAAACAGTTCTGTATCACTTTACACCTTCTCAAGCCCCTGCCAAGGTTTTGTAAA